TGGTTTTATTTTTTTCCTGTTTTGTTTTATTTGTCTGTGTTCTAGCCTTTATCATTTCTTTCCTGCTGCTAGTCCTTGGTTTAACTTGTTCTTTTTCCATAAGCTGTAAAGTTAGGCTGTTGAATTGATCTTTGGTGTTTTCAAACCTCTAAATATTTCCTGATTGTCCTCATGATATCTTCTTTGGTCTATTGGTCATGTAAGGTTATTGGTTTAATTTTCACAAATTTGTGAATATCCCAGTTTTATTGCTGGTGCTGATTTTTAACTTCATATCATTGTATGAGAAGCTACTTTGTGTGATATCCATCTTTTATAGTTTACTAAGACTTAATTTGTGAACTGACATATGGTCTGTCTTATAAAGTGTCCCATATGTACTTGGGGAAGATGTGTGTGCGTGTTGTTGGGTAGAGTGTTCTGTTCATGTCTGCTATGTCTAGTTTGTTCACTGTGTCAGGCCTTCTGTTTCCTCACCGATCTTCTGACTGATTATTCTATTCATTATTGATTGTGGAGTGTTGAAATCTCCAACTATTATTGTAGCACTGTTTATTTCTCCCTTCAATTCTGTTATTTTCTGCTTCATATATTTTGATGTTTTGTTATAATGTATGCAAATATTTATAATTGTTATATCTTCTTGTATCAGAACTTTTATTATTACATAATATTATTCTTATCTCTCAAAACCACATTTGATTTAAAGCTTTTTTTTTGGTCAGATTTTGGTATGGTGGCCACCTCTGCTCTTTTCTCCTTTTACTTCCATTTTTTCCTTTGGATCTAAAGTAGAATATCTTGTTATCAGCATAGAATTTAATCATGTTTTAATCCATTCTTCAAATCACTGTCTTTTGATTGGGAACTTTAACCTATATACCTTTAAAGTTATTAATGATAAGAAAAATTTTACTTCTGTCATTTTGCTATTTATTTTCTATATACTTTACAGCATTTTTTGACCCTCATTTTCTACATTACAGTATTCTTTTGTGTTTAGTTCTTTTTTTCTTTTTTCTTTGCAGTGAAATGTTTAAATTTCTTTCTTATTTCCTTTTGTGTATATGCTGTAATAATTTTCTTTGTGGTTACCATAGGGATTATTAACATATTAAAGTTATATCACTCTAAGTTGAATTTATACCAGCACAACTTTGATAACGTGAAACTTTGCTAATTTACTTCTTCATCCCCACTATTTTCAGTTATTGCTGACACAAAATTTTATCTTTGTAGATTGGTTTCAAAAAGAGGAAAAATAAAAATAAAGAGGAGGTTACCTTTCAAGTTCCATTAAAGACCCTTTGGCTGGAGGAGATTGTAATAATATAGGAGGCATAACAAGAATAGCTGCCACCTTTTGTCTGAATTTTTGTGATCAGAAGCAGTAATCAACAATAATAGCACATGTCTCTGACATTTGAAGGACAGAGTCCTTTTTCCCATCCTGGCTCCTACAAGCAGTGTTCAGGCTGTTTCTGGAACATAGGCACAGTTGTCTGCTATGGGCTGGAATGAGGGACCAGTAGCGGCCACTGTGCTAGAGCTAAAATTGACTATAATTTACTGTCCAACTCTTCCTCTAGAAATTGAAAGCAGTCAATAGAACCCAGAGTTCCAAAAACAGTTACATCAGATTCTGCCAGTGCAACTGTTGTCTAGGTAGGGAGATCCAGTCCTGGTGCTTTTTATTCTGTCTTCTTTCCCAAATCCTCCTATTCACTTTTTTTTTTTTTTTTTTTTTGATTTTGGGGATTGAACCCAGGAACACTTTACCACTGAGATACAGTATACTTCTTTTATTTATTTATTTATTTTTTTTAGTTGCAGATGGACACGATACCTTTATTTTATTTATTTCATATGGTGCTGAGGATTGAACCTAGGGCTTCACACATGTGAGGCAAGTGCTCTATATCACTGAGCCACAACCCCAGCTCTAGTTATTTTATTTTTATTTTGAGTCAGGGTATTATTAACTTGTTGAGGGCCTCACTAAGTTGCTGAGGCTGGTCTGAAACTTGCAATTTTCCTGCCTCAGCATCCTGAATCATTGGAGGATTATGGATATGTGCCCCCACCTTAAGTCTCCTATTTTTTGGGGGGGGGAGGGTTTTGAACCCAGTGGCTCTCTACCACTGAGCTACACCCCAAACTTTTTTTATTTTTCTGAGACAGAGCCTTGGAAAATTGCACAGGCTGGCCTAGAACTTGTGATCTTTCTGCCTCAGCCTCCCAAATTTCTGGGATTACAGATGTGTGTTACCACATCTGTCTCCTATCCACTTCTAACAAATGAGAAAACTAAGACACAGAGAAATTTTTTTTCCCCAAATCACAGAGGTTAAAAAGTGGCAGAAATGGAATTTGGACTCATGGTGCCTGGCTACAGAGACTATATCACATTCTTAAATTCACAAATTGCTATTTCTGTGGAAAGAAATAAAGGGAGTGGGTATATAAAATGAAACCTTAGTTCACCCAACTGAAAAGAATGAATGAGCAAATTAGCATAGGCAGCAACCAATCTGGCTTGTAATTGAAGTAAATATGCAGCTTCAAATTTACAAAGTAGCTTTGGGCATATAATTCTGGATGAGGATGACAAGAGCCTCTTTAATCTATGGGATGGAGAGCTGAAGTGTTCACAGGGCCTTAGAAGGTGAGCAAAACAACATCCAAATGACCTGCATGCCATACCTTGGTGCCCTAAGGAAACAACTGGGTGGAAAAGAGTGTCAGAGAGGCCCTGGGAGGTTGTCTGAGGGCCAGGTTTGCTTGTAGTCTGCTCCCTGCCAGAAGTGTGGGTACCTTTTATTTGCCCAGAAATAGAATTATAGGAAATCTCTGAGCACATTAAAAAAAAAAAAAACCCTAAAAGGACAGGCTATGAAAAAATACACAATTGTGATGTGTGATTTATATGTAATTCTAAATTACTCCTCTGGTGTTTGTTCACAACAATGGATCCCAAAGTATACAAAAATGACTTTAAGCTGAGTGTGGTGGTGCGTGTCTCTAATCCCAGCCTCTTGGGAGGCTGAGATGGGAGAATCACTTAAGCCCAAGGAGTAGCATGGGCAACATAACATTTTCCCTGACTTGGAAAAAATAATTGACAATGTCTATATTTTATCAACTAAAATGCACTCTAGTTACTAAATTTTGATCAGTTGTTCATTGCTCATCATGTTTAAGAAGTCAAGGTTTTGGTCAATTTTGGTCTTTGAAGTTTTAAGAGTTTCTTTAGAGTCTTTAGAAATTAATTAGCAATGAGTAAATACATACTTTGGAGATTTGAAGGATGCAACCTAACATTTTGAATTATTTTTGTCATATTTTTTGTTGGTGCATTATAGTTTACATAATGCTGGGATTCATCGTTATGCATTTGTACATGCACACAATATAACAATGTAATTTGGCCAATATCACTCCCCAGCATTTCCCCCCAGTATTTTTCTCTTTCTTTCCCATGTATTTTGGATTCTTGATTTATGAAAGAAACCTTTTTATGAGATTCCTAATGATGATTTATTTATTCCTAGTATATATTAATGGTCATATAGTGGATCCAGTTTTTCATGTTCCCAAGTCTGAAAGTCAGATTTATATTTTAAATCTAAAATTTTGGTTGGCAGTTCTGCATGTGGTCATAAAACCAGCTGTGCTTTAAACCTTGGGCTCAGATCACTTGTTGCAATCAAAGGGGTGGACAAGGCTAAAATCCCACTTGCTACCCAAATGTAAACCTTGTAAATGGAACAGTTCTCCAGTGTGCTCTTTGGTCTATCTGTTCTCTGTCTTGGGTCTTGAAACAATAACCATAACATTAGAAATATACTGCTGAGCACAATTTTTATGGAAACAAATTGAGATAGATTTGTTCCAGACTCAAAAAATACTTTCCCCCCTAATACTGAACCCAAAGGCTTGATGATTTCTTGCCAACCTCAAGCACAAACTAGCCATCTAAAAGTAAGGTAAGAAAAGCATCTGCCCTCTTCTCAGGTTATGTGAGTTGAAGTCTTTCAGTTTCCACCTTCATAGCAATAGCTTTTTTTTTTCTATAGTAAATGGTTATTGCTGTGTATAACCAAACTCTGTTTATTAGGGCACACAAACCATCTTAATTGGGCTCCCCTCCTTCCTCCATTGTCCAGTAGCATTACAGAAACAAGTTATTTCAGTTCATTTAGATGGTTCTGAGACTGTCAATTCTGATAATTTTGGACGAAGTGAGCAGGCTAAAATGGATGTAAATGAATCAAACTTTTAATCATATGTGATTTGAGTACACAGAGCTACAGTTCAGTTGTAATAGAAGGTATAAGAGCTTAAAAGACCCAGAATAATTCACACTAAAATATCTTGGGGTCTTTTTCCATTTTAAAATGAATCAAGTAATTCTGTGTGGTTGAGGATTGACAGCAAAATGGAAACAGAGCAAACTGCAGAATTTTTCACCAGGTAACTGCATTAGCAGCAAAACTCATAATATAGTCTGTCAGTTGAAAAGAACATGAAGGAGCCTTCTGTTTTCTTATGAGGTGCCATAATCTCACAGTTCCTGGCCAATTATACTTAGCTACTGCTAAAATGAGGTTATTAGAAAATGCTGTCTTCCCCTGTAGCTTTTAGCAATAATGAGATACTTCATGAATACTAACTTTTCTTATAATTTGTTTATTAGCATAGGTAAACAAAATTAAAACTACTATCAAATACTGCCTTATATTTATGATGTGCCTATAACACAAGCTATTGCTCTATAATATAAATCCTGAATTTAAAAGTATATTCCTGAGGATTGACTATAGGTTAAACTGGTGGGCAAATGCTTTAGTGATCTTTGAAACTTTCATATTTCTTAGTAATATTCTTTTTTTCTAGCTAGATATTTCTGTAGGATAAAATGCATAGCATAAATGTTATAGACAGTTATTATTATATGACATAAAATTTATACATATTCCTGTTCATGTATTTTCACTTACCAGAATTAAGAGGCAACTTGAGGCCAATTTCGTGTGCTCAGGGATGGTAGAAAACACGGACAAAATCAAGCAACCAAAGACAAGGAGGAAACTGTAAAACAACAGTGAAAAAGAGGAATTTGATAAGAAACTTGCCTTATCATTATAGAAAGAATAAAACACCAGACCCATTTGAAAAGGCATAGGTTAAATCATAAAAGCCCTAGTAGACACTAGCCATTTTTTTTTGTATATTTGTATGTGACTATATCTTTTTTTTTTATTTTTAATTTTTTATTGTGGGTTGTTCAAAACATTACAAATTTCTTGACATATCATATTCCACACTTTGATTCAAGTGGGTTATGAACTCCCACCTTCACCCCATACACAGATTGCAGAATCACATCAGTTACACATCCATTGATTTACATATTGCCATACTAGTGTCTGTTGTGCTCCGCTGCCTTTCCCATCCTCCCCCCTCCCCCCTCCCCACTTCTCCCCTCCCCTCCCCTCCTCTCTCTCTACCCCCTCCACTGTATAACCCTGAGGGTCTCCTTCCATTACCATGCAATTTCCCTTCTCTCTCCCTTTCCCTCCCACCTCTCATCCCTATTAAATGTTAATCTTCTTCTCCTGCTCTTCATCCCTACTCTGATCTTAGTTACTCTCCTTATATCAAAGAAGACATTTGGCATTTGTTTTTTAGGGATTGGCTAGCTTCACTTAGCATAATCTGCTCTAATGCCATCCATTTCCCTGTAAATTCTATGATTTTGTCATTTTTTAATGCAGAGTAATACTCCATTGTGTATAAATGCCACATTTTTTTTTTATCCATTCGTCTATTGAAGGGCATCTAGGTTGGTTCCACAGTCTTGCTATTGTGAACTGTGCTGCTATGAACATCGATGTAGCAGTGTCCCTGTAGCATGCTCTTTTTAGGTCTTTACGGAATAGACCAAGAAGGGGAATAGCTGGGTCAAATGGTGGCTCCATTCCCAGCTTTCCAAGAAATCTCCATACTGCTTTCCAAATTGGCTGCACCAATCTGCAGTCCCACCAGCAATGTACAAGTGTACCCTTTTCCCCACATCCTCGCCAGCACTTGTTGTTGTTTGACTTCATAATGGCTGCCAATCTTACTGGAGTGAGATGGTATCATAGGGTGGTTTTGATTTGCATTTCTCTGACAGCTAGAGATGTTGAGCATTTTTTCATGTACTTGTTGATTGATTGTATGTCCTCCTCTGAGAAGTGTCTGTTCAGGTCCTTGGCCCATTTGTTGATTGGGTTGTTTGTTCTCTTATTGTCTAATTTTTTGAGTTCTTTGTATACTCTGGATATTAGGGCTCTATCTGAAGTGTGAGGAGTAAAGATTTGTTCCCAGGGTGTAGGCTCCCTATTTACCTCTCTTACTGTTTCTTTTGCTGAGAAAAAACTTTTTAGTTTGAGTAAGTCCCATTTGTTGATTCTAGTTATTAACTTTTGTGCTATGGGTGTCCTATTGAGGAATTTGGAGCCCGACCCCACCGACTGTAGATCGTAGCCAACTTTTTCTTCTATCAGACGGCGCGTCTCTGATTTGATATCAAGCTCCTTGATCCATTTTGAATTCACTTTTGTGCATGGCGAGAGAAAGGGATTCAGTTTCATTTTGTTGCATATGGATTTCCAGTTTTCCCAGCACCATTTGTTGAAGATGCTATCCTTCCTCCATTGCATGCTTTTAGCCCCTTTATCAAATATAAGATAGTTGTAGTTTTGTGGATTGGTTTCTGTGTCCTCTATTCTGTACCATTGGTCCACCCGCCTGTTTTGGTACCAGTACCATGCTGTTTTTGTTACTATTGCTCTGTAGTATAGTTTGAAGTCTGGAAGACACTAGCCATTTTGAATATCAAAATACAGTATGATATAGGGTGTAAATGGGGCACCTTAACAATTTTATTGATAAAGAAAAGGTTGTATGTGTGAATTTGTTTGTGTGTGTGATGCTGTGTTTAAGTGTTCACATTTAAGAATCTATAAGTTTCCAATACAAATCTTTTTTCAAGCAGGGATCCTGAGAAAGGTTCAGAGAGAGAGAGTGGTCATGTTTTCCTACTGGAGCAGACTGCAGCCACTCTCCTATCAAAGAAGCAGTATCCACCTCATGTTTGGCAGCTTTGGCAAAAAGTCAGGTATTCTAAGTCACTGTTACCAGGACACTGGCCCATTGTTTGAGTCTGATACTGCTCATGAATTCTCATTTGTCATTCTTTTATATGAATAAGAAGAATAGAAAAGGGAAGGGGTGATCTACTCTGCTACCTGTGCATCTCAATTTCCTTGTAATCAAACTAACAGAAAAATTACCTCTGTGCTCTGTCTCCTCCTAGGTTATTAGAAAATGCTCTCTTCCCCTGTAGTTTTTAGCAATCATGAAAGACTTCATGGATACTGCTAGGGAGTGGAAGTCAGGGGCAACCATTTCTTACCAATCCATCTATAGATTTTTTATTTCAAGAAAGATGGAACTTGCAGAATCAAGGGAGGAGTGGAGTTCCCAAGGAAAATGTCTAATAAAAGAAAAGGCTTTGTTTCAAAGTCAATTTTCAAGATAACAAAACAAAACACCCAAGATACCTGCTTTGGAACAATTTCAACTTCTTCTCATCTCTGAGAAACTCTATAATAAGGTCCTTGAAAAGATAAATTTTTGTGTTCTTTGTAATAGTGGAGTTAATTCTTGCCTCTCTTTGGCTTGCCCTGAAAAGTCTTATAAGTCTTTCTACCACCCTTCACTGAGAGTGCCTAATGGCTTATAGCCAAGGATTAGCTAAATTATGGTCTGGGAAACAAATCTGGCCCCACATACCTGTTTTTATAAGTAAAGTTTTATTGGCACACAGCCATTGCCATTCATTATGTATTGTCTGTGACTGTTTTCATGTTTCAATAGCAAAACTGGGTAGTTGCAAAAGAGACAGTATGACCAGCAAGACAAATATTTACTATCTGGCCCTTTAGAGAATAAATCTGCTATATAAGGGGGGGTGACTCAAAATGGGGTTGGGATGGATAGGGAATCAGGGTGGGAGGGAAAGGGAGGGAGAAGGGGAATAGCATGGATGGTGAAAGGAGACTCTCATCATTATACAAAATACATGTATGAAGATGTGAATTTGGTGTCAACATACCTTATATATAATCAGAGATATGATAAATTATTATATAATGGTGTATTAAAAATTGTAATAAAAATAAATAAATAATGTGCACTAAAAAAAGAGAATAAATCTGCTGACCCTGACTAATATCATCTATTACTTATTTCTTTGTATCTATCCCAACAGATAACTAGAGTGAAAGTACATAATTGCTTATATCCTGCATGATGATAATAATTACCAACATTCACAGAACATTTCCTATAGGCTGGACACTGCACTAAACCCCCTGTATTTGCATTCTCCCTCATTATCCTTACAAATTTGTGGAGTAGAAAAGTCATTGTCTCCAGTGTACAGTTATGAAAACTGAGGGTGAAGAATCTTTTGTAGCTAGTCCAAGGTTGTGTAGCAGGAGAGTCTGAGCACTATGTGCAGTCAGCTTTCACACTGAATTGCTGGATGAGCTTCCCTGTACCTGATGAGGATGGTGATCATGCTCTTGGCTCAACAAGACTTTGGAGACTACCCCTGTATTGCTTTAAAACAAGACAGAAGTAGTTGCTGTTCCAGATAGAAGATGGCTCCAAGGGGGAGGATTCTACTAGTGATACAAACCTAGCACACAATATTAATAATGTCTCATTGATCCTTGACTTATATATCTAACAAATCAGGATACTTTCGATTATATGTTAAATTTATCCCAATAGACTAGAAATTGTAAACTAATAGTCAAAACCTCATACCTACGTCACTGTCAAACTACCAATGAAAAAATAAAACTCAGGGATCATTAAAGTGCCTGGGAACAGGATGTGGTGTCTAAAAAGGATGATGACAGATGTTTCCTTTCTAATGAGTGGCCATTATCTGGATATGCTCCTTGAGTCCAGGTTTACCAGAAAACTTTAGGAAAAGTGAGCTGGCCAATTGTTTAATCACAAAATATCATTCTTCTCCAAGAGATCTCAGTGGTAGACTCATAATCTCTTATGTCTGTGTCCAAAACAGAACTTTTTGCTAGTTCTTTCCTCACTAACATTTGGATCTGCTTAGTCTTTCCCCTTCATTTTACCACTTTTCCCATTTTCTTTTTTGATTTAATACTACCTTCCTTTCTAATGAGAGTAGTTTCTGTACTAGTATTGTCATTGCTACAGAGGCCCATCTGAAGACTGCAAGCCAAAGACCTCTGTTGCTCTGGTTGCCCAAGAAGCTATGGATGGACAAATATGTTCATTAGTTTATCCCTTTCTCCCTCGCCCTTCCTTTTATCATTCATCCAGTTATCCATTCAGTAAATACTGATTAAACATATAATGCTAGTCTGAACTGTGAGGGTTGTAACAATGACGAAAATTCCTTGTTACCTTTTTTCCTTCACAGAATATCAAGTCTATCAGAACATACAGAGAGGCAAGCAGATGTAAACAAAAAAGCAGATATAAACAAAATGTTCGTAGTGATGATTGCAATGATAGGGAAAGTACTGGGGATGATGGGAGCATGTGGTAAAGGATGGATTAGGCTGCTAAATTTGTGGTTTCTTATGGAAAATGAAGATATGGGCATTTTGCTAAAAATTAAGAATTTCATGATAGAAACAACAGAGTATGAATCCAAGTTTAGCACCATTTTAAATGTGGGAATCCATGGGACTATACAGACTGCATACCCATGAAGCCGAACTGGGGTTAGGTAAGACTTCCTTTTTTTTATGATTTCCATTTCTTTATTTTCAATAAAATTGAGAAAAATTTAACTGAGTTGTCAGTCGATAGATCACAAAAATAATACTTGAATATGTGCCACTGTGTGGTTTTGGCATGTAAAGTGGAAGAGTTCAAAGAGTTGACTGACATTTTTATAGCAAGTTTTGCTCCAGTTCCATCTATTTTTACATATGAACAAAGATTCTCACAACTTACAAAAAATACACATTAGAATTGATGCT